CCTCTCGAGTAAGATAATAAGTTATTTGGGTCATACATAAATCATTCGTGCATGATGTTTTCACATGATTTTCTGGAAAATGAGAAAATAATTTCCAAAGTTTCTCATTTAAATCTTTTCTAAAAATGAAATTTTTGAAAAAGTAACTGATTCAGAGTCCCAAAAAGCGAGAGATTCAACTGACACTCAAGTCAATACAGACTCTCATATTCAGTGGTTGCGAGACAAGTTTCTACAAGAAAAATTAAATTTCAAAGATTATCTTGAAATCCAAATCTTCAAGTATGATTTTTCAAATTTTCAAACATATACTAACAAGTAGTAATGTTTAATTTGCAGATTTGATATTCTCGAAGATAAGAGAAGCGAATCGAACTCGATCCAATTTTCTTTAAAGAATAGTGGAATGAATCAATGTCCCCATATCTGATTTTCTCTCAAGAAGAAGTGGAACAAATCCACCTCTTTCAAAGATTTGATATTCCCTGAGTAACAATGGAACAAATCTGGCTCGATTCAATCTTCCTTAAGAAACGTGGAATGAATCAACGTCCCCAGATCTAATTTTCCCTCAGGAAGAAGTGAAACAGATCCCCCTCTTGCAAGATTTGATATTCCCTGAGTAACAGTGGAACAAGTCTGCCTCTATTCAATCTTTCCTGAGTAAGAATGGAATGAATCAACGTCCCTAGATCTGATTTTCCCTCAAGAAGAAGCGCAACATGTCCATCTCTTTCAAGATTTGGTATTCTCTGAGTAACAGTGGAACAAGTCTGCCTTGATTTAATCTTCCCTGTAGAACAGTGGAATGAGTCAATATTTCTCGATCTGATCTACCCTGAAGAAACAGTGGAACAAATCCCTTATCAGATTTTAAAGCACATATTTGGTCGAACGAGAACTCATTGTCTCTTCGTCTTTGTCTTATCCTTGTTAACACAAGAATGAACAAAGAGGCGCAGCTGTCAACACCTGTTTTCGTCTGAACCGTTATTATTATTATTATTATTATTATTATTATTATTATTACTATTAATATTATTATTTATTAATGCAGACCAATTACAACCAGTCCAAAACTGGGCCCCGAATTACAATAGGCCCGATTGGGCCAAGCAAAAAAATTACAACCCAGCCCAAGCCACCCAACCAAGTTAGGGTTTCTAAACCTAAACTTATTCTTCACCCCGATGGCCACCCACTGTAGCTGTCAGCACCATGTCCTGCCATCTGCTACCTCTGTCACACTCCACGCCTCCACCAACTCACCAAGCACTACTATGTTAGAAACAAATCAACAACCAAGCTAAAATACAAATCCACACGCAAAGATTTCTTTTGTAATGATTTCATAGAAAAATAGAGACAATATATATGTAAATCGAAGGTTATAAAACCCAAAACGATTTTAAAAAGATTTTTCACTCTGGTTTCTTTTCCAGTTTCGAAAAAGAAATAAAAGCATAAAAAAGACGAAAGTTTTGAAGGTATTTTTTGGTGTTTTATTTTATTTTATTTTTTTAGCTTTCTACAATAAAAAGAAGAAGAAAAAGATATGAGAGTTACCTTTGGCTGAGCACGTAGCCAAATTTCGGAGGGTCAACTCATAGATCCGAATGGTGAGAAGGCACGGTGTGTTCTCGGGACCAACATATTTTGAAATGGGCTCGATCTAACGGCGGAGATCCGGGCAGTGGAAGTCGAGAGGTTCTTAGTTTATTTCGTGGTATTTGGGGCCATTTTTCACAAAACCAAGCCTGAATCTGTGACCACCGTGTTGAGGCAAGCAAGTCCATGAAATTTGGTGGCGAACGACCACCAACGAATGAGGCTGACGAGGGTCAAGCGGCCGACGATAAGCCAATTTCTAGAGAAGGGAGAAATTCTCTCTTTAAAATTTTTTTTTAAAAAAAAGAGAGAAATGAAAAAAATAAGAAAAGGGAAAAAGGTTGTTTTTATAGAAAACTTTAGTGGAAATTGTACTTAGGTCCTCCTAATTTATGATTATTTTTACAAAATGGTCACCTATAGGGACCAAATTTATAATTTACCCGTTTCTTATGCATGTTATATATTTTGGTTTAAATTCTATTTAGTCCCCCTAGTTTAGTTGTGCTTTTGCATGTTAGTCACTTGTACGGTCTATTTTGGTAATTTACCCACTTTTATACATATTATATATTTTTAGGGTTATTTTCTGTCTAGTCTGTGTATATTTAGTGTGTTTTTACATTTTGGTCATGTGTAGTGACTTTTTAATTTTTTTTAAATTACTTAGGGACTGATTTAGTAATTTCCCCTTTTTATTTTGAATGTATATTTTAGGCTAAAAAATGGAATATTTAGGAAATAGCCCCTGTAGTTTCTGCATGTTTGTATTTCGAACCCAAATTTTTTTTATTTTAATTTGACCATGCAATTTTAATTTATTTTAATTTAGCCCCATATTTTATTTATTTTCATATTTTTGTAATTTTAGCATTCAATATTAAAAATGCTCATTTTAGTCACTTTTATACTTTATTTTATTTTAATTTTGACATGTTGGTTGTATTGTTTGTGTTTTAGTTCTGTTTGTATTTTATTTTAATTTTTGCATATTAGTTCATTTTAGTCCTTAATTAATTTTTCATGTTACCCTCATAAGCATCACTTGACTCGAATCAAAATAACTTGACTAAGGGTAATATCCGTTCATTTTAATATTGTCGTAAAGTGAGTGTCTTAACGTATAAGAAAGTTACTTTCGATAATTTTAAAACGAAGTATATCACATTTAGTGACATGAACTAATTCAAATTCGTTTTAAAATTGGGGGATTAGGAAAAAGATCACGTTCTTTTAATTAAATTCATCGAGAAAAGACTGTTAGATCAAATCTAAGGTCTCGTCTCGAGATATTTAAATAATTGAACATCCTTATTCTTATTAAATATTGATAAAATAAATAAATAATTTTATTTGCTTGATATGCCTTTATTTGCTTTATTTTTGCATGTATTTTCCGTTGGGTTTTTCGAAATAATAACATTCGAATCATTATTGAGAATATTAATATATTTCTATTTTGGTTGGAGTAATGAATGATTGTTTTAAGGCATGACATATCCTTATTTCTCAACTGGAAATAATTAGACATTATCGGTTTCTCTCTTTAAAATTATTTTGGGTGTTATTATTTTGAATTAATAATGAATTTTAGAATGAAATTTTAATATTTCTTTATTTCGATTGGAGTAAGATCGATTGCTTTAAGGTATGAGATATCGATTCTTCTTGATAGGAAATATTTAAATATTATCGTATTTCGTCCAAAAATTCAAAGAATATTGCTTTTAGGGGATCTTAAATTAAATTAGACTCGAACTCATAAATTTCGTTACAAATACAATTAATTAATCGACTAGGTATCGATTTAAGGCGTTGTGGGGGTGTTAATCCTTCCTCGCACGTAACCGACTCATGAACTCGAATTTTGGTAACGCAGACCGCAATTTTGTTGTTTTAATTAAAATTAATATTTTAGTAAAATGACAAATACGTTTTGCGTGCACAATCACACCCTAATCAAAGATCGGTGACGACTTCTCGAACTATGTTTTATCATTAACCAATCATAAAAAATCATTTCGAAAAGAAACCCCTTTTTCCCTTCGAAAAAAAAAACTTTTTCGACAACATTCACTTTATATAAAATAGATTTATTAAATTTTACTAATAAATAATCATGGAGTGATAAATTATTTATATTATATTAATTTCATATTCCATTCTTATTAAATGATTTTTAATTCTTTCTTAAAAAATCATTATAAAACAATGAAGAAGATAAAATCATTACTATAATAATATTTATATTATTATTTAAAAAGGTTTTTCAGATCTGATTAATCGGTGATACTTATTCAATTAAGATTTTAAATAAAATTGACTTAATAAGAAGATTTCTCTTTTCTTAATTAAGTTAACACTCGATTAACCAATAACGTCAACTCAATCAAAATTTAAGGGAATATTATGATTTTAAATATAATTGACTTGGTAAGAAGATTACTCTATTCTCAGTTAACACTCGATTAACCAATAACGCCAACTCAATCAAAATTTAAGGGAATAACATGATTTTAAACATAATTGACTTAGTAAGAAGATTACTCTATTCTCAGTTAACACTCGATTAACCAATAACGCCAACTCAATCAAAATTTAAAGGAATAAAATCAAAATCCACCCTTAATATTTGTTCTAATAGTCTATATTTGAAAAAGAATTTAAGTCTTAATATTTTAATTTGATCAAAATTTTACTTCTTAATTAACTCTTAATATTTTTTCATTAACACGTATGAACAATTAAATATATTAAAATAATATTATGTTGAAAGAATCAACTTACCTCAGTGGTTAAAAAAATTATTGTTGTTCCTAGAGGTCATGGGTTCGAGCACCAGTGACTGTAAGAGTGATTGAGCATTCGCTGTCAAAAGATTAAGAATACATAGAACATATACTACTTTATAATCACATTTAGCTTAATAAAAAAATAATATAATGTTAACAACAAACTTACTTAATAACTAACAATTTTAACAAAAAAGAGTATTTTAATAAAAAAAATGAAATATTAACAGTAAATTTTTTAAAAATAAAATAAATATTATTTTTAAAATTAAAGGTGAATTTTGATATTATATCAATTTTTAAATATAGCTGACCTAACACCAAAATGCAGAATAGTCATTGATTCAACGAATTACAAGGAATAATTTTGAGAGTAAACTCAGGGCCATTTAATCAATGTGTATGGCAAACAGGACACCCACCTGGTTATCTAAGAGCAGTTTGTTCTTAAATTAGCAGTTTGTTCTTAAATTATACATACTTTTCTCAACTTTTCCTCCAAATCAGGAGTCAAAACGAATTTAGTAGCCAATATAAAACCTATAAAAAGGAAGGCAAAGAAACCCTATAGACAACACAAAGCCACCCGCAGGCAATCGAAATAAAAACAAAATAAAAATAAAACATGACAACCACGACGGCGACGAGAATGTTGTGGAGAGGCCTATGTATTATCGTCCCTCTTCTCTTCGTCTCCGTCAACTGCCAACCCTTAGATAAATCTGCCGGTGATGGCAACTTAAAGAATAAAGGCATTGCTGAAAATATTGTTAGTGCTGAGACTAATTATAAGGGAAAGTGGGAGCTGTTTTCTCCAAATTCCGGTGTGTCGGCCATGCACTTGATTCTTCTCCCCAAGACGAACAACTCGTTGATGTTCGATTCCACCATCTTTAAGACATCGAGGTTGAAGTTTCCGGATCCGCATTGCCAAAACGTCGTTATACCCAATGGTCCCGTTGAGGAACATTGCTTTGCGCATTCGGTTCTCATGGATTTTGAAACAGCAAAGGTTAAGCCACTCAAGGTACATTTTTAGCTCTCCTGATGCATGCTTTATTTTAATTGAGAATTTTAGATATTTAATCTTTATAATTAACAGATTTTCTTAATTAACAGTTTAAGTATGATACTTGGTGTTCATCCGGTGCTCTTGACGTGAAGGGACGGTTAGTAAGCACTGGTGGGTCTGATAAAGGCTCCGACACCGTCAGAATTCTCGATAAATGTGACGACTGTCAATGGAAAGAATATCCCGGCACACTTGGAAATGGAAGATGGTACTCATTTTTAATAAAAAGCCTCGAATGATAAATGATGGGTTTTTTAAAACACTTTTATCTATGGGTTTTTTTTTTGGTCACTTTCGATTGAAGGTATTCAACACAAGTAACCTTAGGCGACGGTAGATTCATGGTGTTCGGCGGTCGTGATTTCCCGACATACGAATTCGTTCCTTCAGAAGGCCATCGCAACTCCAAAAACCAAGTCATCGATTTCAAGTTCCTTCGAGAAACCCGCGATCGCGTCGAGAACAATTTGTACCCTTTTGTTAATCTCCATACAGATGGAAACCTCTTTATTTTCGCAAACAACCGTTCGGTTCTCCTCAATCCGAAGACTAACTTGATCGTCCACGAGTTTCCAGTCCTCCCCAACGGTGCCCGAAGCTATCCTGCTTCGGGATGTTCTTGTATGCTTCCGATCACGCTTCATCCCGACGAGAAACGTCCTGTCATCCCGGCCGAAATCTTGGTATGCGGAGGCGCGGCACATGACGCTTTTACGTTGACGGATTTGAATCGACCCAAAGTGTTTCCCCCGGTGACCAAGGACTGTGGTCTCATAGATATCAGCGAAATGCAGAAAGCTAACTGGAAGATCCTGCAAATGCCGTCGCCTCGTATTTTGGGCGACGCCATGGTTCTTCCGACGGGAGATGTTCTTCTCGTCAACGGCGCCAAGAGTGGCTCCGCTGGGTGGGATGATGCGAGGGACCCTAATATGGTCCCCGTTTTGTATAATGTCGCCAGTTACAATTTTAAAGAGCTTAATCCTTCGACTATTCCACGTATGTACCACTCAACGTCGGCAGTTCTCCCCGACGGGAAAATCCTCATCGCCGGGAGCAACACGAACGACGGATACTTGGATGTCGCCCTCTTCCCCACCGAGACCCGTGTCGAAAAATTCTCGCCGCATTACTTTGATCCAGCATTGGACCCTTTCCGAACCGAGATTTTATACGAGAAGGCCAAGAGACTCAATTATGGAAAGCCGTTCAAGGTGCGAGTCCGTGGTGGCGATCAGAATCTTGACATGAAGAAGCTTCAAGTGAATATTTACAATCCGCCATTTACGACACACGGTATCTCGATGAATCAAAGGATGATTAGGCTTGGAATTTATGAAGTAAAGAAAGACGGCGCCGAAAAGGATGTCTCCGTCATTTCTCTTCAAGCACCACTCAACGGCAACATCGCTCCGCCCGGTTATTACATGCTGTTCGTGGTTTATAATGGGGTGCCCTGCCGCCGTGCCATGTGGGTTAACGTGAACAAGTAAGCCCTCTCGTTTAGTGCTCCGGTTCAACAAAGACTTGTAAATTCAATGTCTCGTCACTGAGATGCAAATTTGCATCTATTTCATTTTTCATTTTGCCTTTTATGGGCAGCGTAATTTTTTTTATATTTCTTTATTCTTTTGAAATTAAAGCAATGAAAATAAATGTGTTAATTAACAGTACTGTTCCAGTTAACTTTTTCGTATTTTTATAATATGACAATAAATAATATATTCTAAAATTATAATTACGTCAACATGTAGAGAGATTATTTACGGTAATTTAGACAGTAAAAGTTAAATTATTTTATTAATAAATTATCTATAAAAACACACAAGTATTAAATTCATATAAACACGAAATAGATTCAATAATAACAACAATACGTATATATTGTTTCTAACACTATGAAAATGATGTTTGATTTTATGTCAAATTTGGTACAACGACATGATAAGAATGGATGTGGGCGACTCAAGCAAGGCGTTGTGATCTTTGGTAGGTAGGCAATGCACAGCCTGCGGTGTCTTACTGTCATTTGGTTTGTACGCGTAAACCAACATGTATTGGTATATTTTCAAGGACAATGGCTAGGCTACAACTAATCTAATTGTGCTTTACCACTATTGAAAATGATTCTCCATGTTCCCTTCAATTTCCAACTAGGAGACTTGTCAATCTAAACCTTCTATAAAATACAATACTAATGTGTGACGCCTTAAATTTGATTTTTCTGAATTGAACTGTTTTAGCATGACTAATTACAATCCACATTTGAATTCATCAAAATTCAAAGGATCCTAGGAGGGAGAAATGGTTGAGATAATGTAAGTGAGATTTTTTAATTCTTAGTATAATCCAACCCGGGAATTATTTTCCCATCTAGGGTGAATTGAACAATATCAAACTAAAGACGCCAGGTGCTCCACGCGTCTTCAATCTAAATATGAAAACTCCAAGAATGCATGGCGTCTTCAGGCAAATGAAGAAGACTCCACGACTATATGGCGTCTTCAGGCAAATTGAGAAGATTCGAGGAGTGCATTGTTGGTAAAATAGATTGTTGCAAAATGAGACATTAGCATTGACTGGAAAAATATATATTGAAATATATATATATATATATATATATATATATATATATATAAAGAATCAATTAACTATGTCGTGGTATTAACCACTGCCTTAGAAACGAATTCACTCCGATGTGTGTAATCGCTCTGATAGGCGGATCGTCCCCCGACGTTAACACGGTCGTTCCAAATTTCGTACACCCGAAACCGGAGTGGACTGCTGGTGGTATTGCACTTCTTATTGGAAAGCACGAAGAGAACAACTTTAGAAAACACTTTGAGAGTGAATTCTGAATGTAGAGAGTGTGTTGAGAAGCTTAATTCAACTCTCTATTTATAGGCTAAAAGTAAGGGTAAATTCATCCAACAAGAAAATCAAATTAAATTTAATTTTAATTCTGAATTTAAACCCTTTTGTAACTCCTTAAATATCTTGATGAATCCATCTCAAAAAGAGTCTAGGTTCATTGCATAAAAACTCAACAGTTATAACTGCTGAAATTAAATCATATAACTCATGTAACTCCTGATATTAACAGCTTGTCTCTCCCATGAACAAAGCTGGAAATCAATTCATATACATCTTAAATTCTGATTTAATTTAGAAAAGTAACTGTTTAATTTATTTAATTTCAGACAACTAATAATTAACTGTTATCATCTGAAATATTCGAACTTTAACAGTCTTAGTAGCCTATAAATATCAGATGAATCTTTCACATTTTTCATTTAATCTTTCAGAGAAAATTTTCTTACGAATTTTCTCTAAAAAGATAGTATCCGTGCAGACGTGTCAAAGACACGTATTACCACGCCTTATTCTCTATCACTCAACAAGGGAATTGAGAATGTGAACCTTAAATATCATTCCCACTAGTATTTCCAACTCTATATAAGATTGAGCATTACCAACATACATGACGTCTTCATACTAATAAGAAGTTCTAATTCAATAAATAATATGATGAATGTCTTATATGCCACAACCCTATATGAGCGAGGAAGTCATCCTAAGAGGAGTTTCTGTGGTGTACGGATGTGTGTGTCACTCATTTGAATTGATGTTAATGGTGTTCCAGATTTGCCCATCAGCATTTTTTATTCCCTAAAATATTTGGCAAACAGATCAGTTAATTTACTACAATACCTTTAGGGGTTGTTTGGTTCAGAGAATGTGCCACATTCCTCATTTGGTTGGTCGGAAATTTCATTCCCGGTAATGTTTTATTATTAATAGTGGATTTTTTGGGGTATATTACCGGGAATGTCATTACCCTCATTCCTTTAGATATTGTTGGATTACCGGTGTTTTGAACTAAAATATCCTTAAATTTTTTTTCAAAAATATCATTCTCATGTCATTGAATAATAAAAATTCTACGAAGGTTAAATTAAAAATTTATCTTTAAACTATTTTAGATTTACAAAAAAGTCTATAATTAAAATTTTATATGAAGTTTAGGGGTTAAAATAAAATTTTACCCTTTTATTAAACCTTTTTATATTTTCAATTTTGTAAAAAAATTATATAAATTTTATGAATTTAAATTTTTTAAAGAAAATATATAAATATCTTATATTAATATTATAGTAGAATTCAACTTGTTAATATATATATATATATATAATAAGAACAATTTAGTCAAATATACATTCCAATAATCTTTTATTCCTTTAACCAAACACGATAATCTTACATTCCTACTAAACCAACCAAACACAAAATACAACATTCTCAGTAATCCTATTCTCTGATAATCTTTTATTCCCACGAATAATCTTACATTTAGTGAACCAAACACATCCTAAAAAACCGATCAAATCCCATCCATATTCGCCGCCAATAAAGCAAAAAACAACACAAAACCCTAAATTACTTACCCAACCACCACCCTTTTATTTTATTTTTTAATCGAGGCTTTTGTTCATTTATTTTATAAATTCTAATTATCAAACTTATATAAATAATCATTAAATTTTATTATAAAATATCATCAAAACTTAATAAATTATTATACAATAATTTTAAAATTTATCATTATTTTATATTTGTTATGTTTAAAATACATCGATTTATCTCTTTTTTTTTCTTTGTTGGATAGGTGGTGGTATTAGTTTTAGTGTTCATTGTATTTTTAATTTATTTTTTATACAATACATTTGCTTTTCTTATTATCTTTTTAGTTTTTCATATCTAAGTATTTATTACATGTTTTTTCTTTTGTCTTTTAAAATATTTTTTTTATCTTCGTTGTCAATAGTTTGGTCATTTCTTCATTTATCTTTTTTTAATTTGATTTGATATTGTCTGAATTAATTAAAATGATACTTATTATTTATCAAGACGATTTTCTCTATTTAGGACATTCAAATTTGATTTAGATATACGATTTGTATTTATAGATAGTTTTCTCACGTCTCTCAACTATAACTTGTGGCTTTGTCGATGTTCTTTTAGTAGTTTAACATCTTTTTGTGATTCGTTTGTTAATGCAATCAAATTTGTTTGTATCTATCTTTTATTCGAGTTTTTTTATTAGATTTTTAATATTTAATTTATATGATCCTTGCGTTGTATGATTTTAAGATATTAATTTTACATCAATAATTATAATTGATAATATTTATTATAATTCTAAATATATTTTATTATATGTTTAATTTATTATTATAATTATAAATATATTTAACTATATATTTAATTTATTATTATAATTGTAAAACTTCGTTATAATTTTAAATATATATTTTTTTGAATAAAACTATACTTTACTTTTTTTATTACGACAAAACCATCACTTTGTTAACAGGTCAAAGTACTTATTCCACACATACCATAAATCCCCAAACTACCCTCCAGACTTTTGTTTAATTTATGCGTATCCGTTCTTCATCGTTCTCAAAATCCACGCAGTTCCTTTCTGTCGTTTGTTGTGTGGTTTCAGAAAAACAAAAACAAAAAAGTCTTTATCAAAAATCCTTCTAAGCTCGTGCTCTTTCTTTAATTATCTGAATTTGATTGATCGGAGTCATCGATCCAATTGAAGCATGGACAGAATCGTCGGTGGTAAATTCAAGCTCGGCCGTAAGATCGGTAGTGGATCCTTCGGTGAAATTTATCTCGGTTCGTCTCATCCTCTTATTTATACTTTTTTCGTCAATTTGTTTGCTATGAATTGTTAAAGTGATTTTCTTATGATTTTGATTTTGTTTCGACAGCTACAAATATCGATACGTTTGAGATCGTCGCTATTAAGATCGTAAGTATCCATTAATTCGTGTTTTTAGATTCATGAATTATGGTCTAGTTGATGTTTATTCTTAGTGTAGAAATGTGAGATAGAATTGGAAATTGTTCGATTTTAAAAGTTTTAAATTTTATGAATTAATTTAATTTTGGCTGTTACAGGAGAACGGTAGAACAAAGCATCCGCAGCTGCTTTATGAAGCCAAATTGTACAATATTCTACAAGGAGGAAGTAAGTGTCTTACTACAATTTAGAATAATCTTGTTTTTTTATTTTAATTTTTCAAGTTTTTAAGAATTGTGAATTGATGAGTTGTTTTTTATTACTATGATTTATTCATAGGTGGAATTCCAAGCATAAAATGGTCAGGTGTTGATGGGGAAGAAAATGTACTTGTTCTCGATTTGCTGGGACCGAGTCTGGAAGATCTTTTTGTGTACTGTGGCAGGAAGTTTTCGCTGAAAACTGTCTTAATGTTGGCTGAACAAATGGTGAACTAAGATTTTTGGTTCATTTTGATTTTATTTTTGAATTGGTTGTATAAATTTCTACTTACTTTTGTCTTTTAACTGTTGAATACTTTTAGATTACAAGAATTGAGTATGTTCACTCGAAGGGATTTCTTCACAGAGATATAAAGCCCGATAACTTCCTCATGGGGCTCGGTCGCAAAGCAAATCTGGTTTATATAATTGATTTTGGGCTTGCGAAGAGATACCGAGACTCCGTAACTAATCGCCACATTCCCTACAGGTAGTTTTCCAGTGTAGTTTGTTATTTCTCACCTTTGTGTTTCTTTGAATTTCTAGATATATTCAGTATAGTTATATAATAGGTCAGTGCTGAATTGCTGTTATGACAAATTTCTTCTCACAGAGAAAACAAGAATTTAACTGGAACTGCTCGTTATGCAAGTTGCAACACACATCTTGGAATAGGTAATATTTTCTGGTCATGCATCAGGATGGATTAAGCACTCATTCATTTACTTGTATATTGATTTATGATATTTATGTTCTAGAGCAAAGCCGGCGGGATGATTTGGAGTCACTTGGCTACGTGCTTGTATATTTTCTTAGAGGAAGGTAGAGAATCTACTTTCAGTGATTTTATGCCTTGGTATATGTTTCTATATATTAAATTGATCAAAATGTTTCATGATATAGCCTTCCATGGCAAGGTTTGAAAGCAGCCACAAAGAAGCAGAAATATGATAAAATAAGTGAGAAGAAGGTGTCCACTCCTATTGAGGTGTGTCTGCATTTATGCTTGTTTTAGTTCTATATTGTGGTTCAGTTATGATTTGATTGACACGGTTTCTGTTTCTGTTTATCAAGGTTCTATGTAAGTCTCATCCTGTGGAGTTTGCCTCATACTTCCATTATTGCCATTCCTTGACATTTGATCAACGACCTGATTATGGATTCTTGAAGCGTCTGTTCCGTGATTTATTTGCTCGTGAAGGTATTGATGTATGCATTATACCTTTTATTTCTGTAGAAAGCAGCTTTTGACTTTCATAGAATATGCACTCACATCCCCTTGCTTGAAATTGTCAAATGCCGTGTTCTTATGGCTAATATTTTCATCAAAGGACTTATTGTTTCAAAGCAAAAGGATTGATCAATTGTACTGAACAAACTGATTGTGAACTAGAGGGATGTCCTTTAACATTGTTGTTTAAAATATGCTATCGAAGGGGAAGAAAGGGCCTAAGCCATTTGGCTTGTTGGAGTAAGTATCAGAATGTTGAACTAGACAATGATGATGACCTAGTATAGATGGAAAATTATGTGTATGCTTTGCTGCAAAATAATTTTTGGTTCTTTTTTGTGGAAGGTTATGAGTTTGACTACAGATTTGACTGGACAATCATCAAGTACCAGCAGGCCCAGAAAAGTAGATCTCGGCCTCAATTGTCAGTTAGTATCTTACTCCTTTTCCTTAAAATTCTAAAAAAAAATGTTTGTCCTTGTGTTTAGAATTATTTATCCAGTATCTAATGCTTTAAATTGTAGAACCGGCGTCGCTAATCTGGTATATGTCTCCTTTATAAGGAACGTTCTTCTTTCTAACAAGACTATATTTTCCCAAAATACAGCCAACTCCTGGAGGTAGCAGTAGTCGGCCATTACCAGCTGGTGTGGACAATCATCAAGGTTAGCTCCTGCTGATGTGCTTTGTGCTCAAATGACTGAATTATGTTTTGAGGGCTTTATCTTTTGGACAAAAGAATCATAGAAGACCTGTAATAAGTCAAAATCTGAGACCTCCTAAGTCTTAATTCAAGTAGTATGGTTTCTTTAGTAACTAAGTTAAATCATCATGATTGGAAGAACTTTAATTTTGTGGTCACTTTCATTTTTTCCTGTCTGTTTGGTCTGTGAACAGCAAGCATTTGTTTGCTTTTCTGGAAAAATATTGAAAAGTTAAATCTAAAATTTCATTACATTAGTTAAATTTTGGACATTACAATTAACTAAGAAATTCATCAATATTTACTCTCCTTCCCTGCAGTGTGGTTATTATAGAAATCTCATTACAAATACCCATACAATTTCAAAATCCCTCCCTTTCTTTCTCAGAATGCTTGCCCTTTAAATGTGTACTTTATCTTTAAAGGAGATATTTTCTAAATTCACAAGTCAATGGGCCTAGTCTAATGTGTGAAGTACACTTTTTTATTGTCTTTCTTTCTGGGAACTGAATTCTATATATCCATAAGATTACATTGGTTAAAAACATGATTTAAAGAACAAAATGGTACACTTCCATCTAGTTACTTCTGTTTTTGGTTACTGAAGCTAGATAACAATCTCTGATGGTTTTGTAGATTTCTGATACCCTATCTCTGATGGTCTCACCTTTATTTTTCTTTTTTGTTGGGGCAGAGGCTTAAGGTATACACAAGATGCCCTGTCAGTTTTAATAATGAGTGACTAGGATAATTACTCGTATGCTGTTGAAGCACATATCTGAGCTTTTATTAAATTGATGGATAATATGAATTATTTTTGTAGAAATCATCATCTTTAGAATGATTTCAAAAATTCTTCTATTCATGATGTTAGTTTTACTTGGAAATAAAATTAAGACCGGGTCCTTCTTTAACTGCCAGGAGGCTTCAATGCTACTTATTCAACTGACATCAATAGATCAAGCAATGTTTCGGGTCATGGTGTTCGCATGCAATTTAAACCAGCAACAGGAAAGAACTTGATTTCTGATACTACTCTTGATAAAAATGTAAGTGTGTTCTTTCAAAATTAATATGTAAAATCTGAGCTACCTACTATTCTTTACTTCTTATTCAAACTCTTGTTTGTGTATATATTTATTGATTTAGCTCTGTCATTGATTTGTGTTATTTAGGAAATACTTTTCATGCTTTTGAATTTTGTAGTGCATTGCATTGCATTGTAGCATCTTGCATTATTTAAATTTTCATGTTTATTTTGGCAGATTTTTGACTCTCATACACCCTCGTCTTCATTTGCACCTGCTGACACCTCAAAAAGAAATGGTCATAAATCAACATTGCCCCATGAAGCTGCTAATTCCGGCCGTGGACACGGAAACAAAATCGGACCTTCAAGTAGTTTGATTTCATCATTGCAGCGCATTTCTTCTGCCAAATAATGAAAATGGTAATTTATTAGCTCATAGATCAGTTTGTAATTAAGTTGGACACCTATCCAAATGTGGTTAATTCTGGTATTCTTGCATCGTGACCAAACATGTTGCTAAACATATTTTAGCTATGATTCTGGTCAGGGAGATTCTTGCGATACATCTAAGGAATCTGCGGTGTGCAGTGATTTCATTTTATTCTTTCTTGTGATAATTCTGGTGCGCATTTTTTTAGATCTGCAAATTTGCTGCTAAATGAAGATCTATATTTTGCTCGCTTAGAATGTTAGGTTTCCGTAGTGTAAACATTGGTTGTTATGAAAAACAGATCCTGGAGCTTGTTTGATGCCTATGCTGTACATAGATGTCATAAATGACCTCAGCAACCTTTGTATCTATGGTGGGAAGGGACCTATTGTCAAAAGGAGTAGAGAAAAATTATATGATATAGAGAATGGAAATTTTGCTAGTTAATCGTATTTGAATGTTAAAATTGATTTTAAGTAATTCTCTCAATCATCAGTTCCTACATTCTAACGCACGGTATGCATTTCTGCCTACAGTGCTGTTGTAAGGGAAGATTAGGGAAATCACAATTAAGGGGGTGCATTTGAAGACCTTAAGACAAATATTTATCTACATGTTAACCGTGGCAGATCTAGTAAAAGCTTCTAAATACTGACAGGTGAACACTGAAGACGCTCGCAATGGTAATATCTTGCCCTAAGTCTGCAATTCTGCTACTATCTACAGTTGAGTTGTACCATCTGTTTCAGCTTGATTTTGTGGAATTGGTCGGTCTAGTTTGAGAGCAGTTCGCCTAGACTGTAATGTTGACGCGGCAGTATGCCAACAATATGTAACTACCAAGCTTGTCATATTATGTAAATCCCAATAGAAGCTGTTCAGGGGTAGTCAATGGCGATAGAAAGTAAAACTACAATTTGCTTTTTCTGTGGTCACTCGGATTCCAGAGATCCGAGGAGCTCTATGTGGCTAAGATTGGACTTTGTGAGCAATTTCATGTGGTGTTTGACGTTTTGAACCAGGTGGAGGATTAAACATTTCCCATTCACCAATTGTCGAATTTAAGATTTCTTTTTCGGTTAATTGACACAAGTGTTAGTCAGGTCTCGAGATCCCGTGTATCAAAAACCAGATGTTGGTAGCATTGCCTCAAGCTCCATCAGGTATGTACAGCTACCGACAACCATTTCTGATTATTATGTTACATCAGAAACTGGTGCAATTTACGCCTGTAGTTGGTCTTAAAATGTTGATAAAACCGGGAACTGCAGAGCGAACATCTTGATAGTACAAAAGGTCAGAAATGTTTGGAGTACTGTGTGTAAACAGTGCTTGATCCCTTTTTTAAGTTATCCATTTATGCAAGTTGTTAATTGTAATTTATTCCCTCTATTATAGGGTTGTTTTAAAATCAGTTTGTCATGTGAAATTAATCTAAATTATACCTATTAGAAATGAACCTAGATCGATCTCTTAAATTTCCACGTAAGCTGAGGTCTACCCGTGTGATTTGTTACTGATTCAATTTTATTATTAGTGCGTAGGTTATAGATTTAGTTCCCGAGCGGTCTTCGTCTGCAGGTCCCGAGGTTAGTCGTTTGTGACTTTTTATTCGTCTGTTTATTCTTGGTCCTTGATGGACCCAAATTCATGCGATGAACCTCTTGCCTAAGCGTCTTTTCCTCGCTCTTGCTTTACTCTAATTTGATATACTAGTTTAGTGGGATTTTAAGGCTATAATTTGAGCAATCATCATGTTCTAAAGGGCTAAGGGGAAAATATTTCGAACCGTAATGTTCGGCTTATCTTTTATAACGTCGATTTTCGGTGATTATTCAGATTGAATTGATTTTTTAAGCTATAAATATACATACTTATATCCACAAATAGATTTATTAAAAAAAATTATTCTTTAAAGAATTTTTTTAACCGTCTTTATCGGATAATCTATCATAGATGAAAGATCTTTCTATAAATCTGATATTATATTTGTGGATGTCTATTGTTCACCTTTAAGCTAGTATTTTTTACTAAGGTCAAATCTTTTTTATAAATGCTCTGGTCACACTCATAATTGTCAAAAAACTGTTCGTAAAGTAATTTTTTTTACTAATAGTATATCAAATAATAATATTTTATTAATAAGACTAAAAACACGTAAAACCCTGCGATCACAACATAAAAAATATATATTCAAATCTATATATCCATTCCCTTTTCATAAAACATCATTAGTTACAGGGAATAAAACCACGATTCAATATCAGACTTTCATTATTAAAGATTACTTAGTCGAATTTGATTGATTCCCGTTAATAGGTATCAGATACTCACATTAAAGATAATTGATTCACGCTCATAGTAATCATATTATTTACCTTATAAATACATTCCAAATCGGAACGAAAGAAGAAAAGACCATGAATATTACATTTATATTTATTTCATCCGACAAACCATTTTAAAAATCTAAATTCCCAAACTATCTATATTGTCAGCCCACGATATCATTCTTCAGTTTCATCAAACTCCAAAGCTTTGAAGTACTTACCATCTAAAAGATAGGTGCCAATAGCCAGACGAACAGCCCATACATCTTTGGGTTTTCTTGAAACAATCCTGCAACACACAAAGGTTACACTCAGCCGCACAATACAATATAAGCAAGGCACTAATTATTTGTTAAAACAGCCTATATAAATTGTATAGCTATGGTTTAAACCTTCCAACGTCCCCAGGCTTGACGAGGCCGGAGTTAGCTCTGAGACACGGAACTGATGCTGCAGTCTTTATCACCTTGGGTGCTTCGACAACAATTATCGGAGACCCTATTTCAAGCTTTGTGCTTCCACTTGGTGCCGGTACTACTGGCTTGACCGAGGGTGATTCACACCTTGATTGTCGTGAGAATTAGAGCGCGGAAATGTCTAAGTATAAGAAAGAGTGTCATGCATGAGAATTCAGATGAGACAGGTTGATTTCTTGGGCTCCAGGGAGAGGCAACTACATACTGCTGTATTTTTATAACCATTTTGCGAGTGATAATTAGAGAGAATAAAAACGAAAAACCCGATGACATATGAAACTTATAATACTTATCTTACAGATGCTATAGACTTAATTAGATTAAGTATTATATAGTTAACTATAAGAGAGTTGAATTTGACACTGAAACTGACGGTTAAAATGGAAATTTCTTCCACAAATCCTTTGAGCTTTTGAATTTCAGTGTTAAAAGGATCATATGAGATTTCAGTGTCAAAACTCACTCCAATTCCTTGAGAAAGTCAATGTTATCAACAAAAACCTGCAAAATTCAAGAGCAAAATTAGTCAATTATATATATATTGTCATACTATACGTCAAGACTCAAGATAATGTAGTAAAAAAGATCTCAAAATAGAAGAGACCGAGATTTTACATGAGAATCTTAAACAGGAAAATCACAAGCAGAGAGGAGAAATTTCACTAATATCAAAAAATAAAAAAGTATGAAGATTGTGACTATATGCGATTAAACAGATTTCAATTTTTCCTTCCTATTTTTTTTTTAACAAGTGAGTTGCACCTCAAACTTTTCGTACGCAAAATTTTCAGGTCTCAGATAACATCATCAATGTATAAATGTTTCAAAAGGCATACCGTCTTCCAACAATCAGAATCTAAGCATGCTGTGATCTTGGTGTTAATACCGGGTAATGGCCCGGGTTCCCGGGTAATTTTTCCACCGAAAAGTTTAACTCCCTCTGCAGTTTTGTACACATCATCTGTGCCGATTGCAATCTGTAGAGATGAGAGTAATATGGCTTCAATTTTGTTCCAGTATATAAGAAATGAAGGCTAAAGAAAGCAGAAGTATTTTCTACCTGAGCATAGCCATTTCCTTTCTCATATTCAGTGACCCCATAGTTGTAAGTCAACTCGAGCACGGCATTTTTATCTTCAGGCCCGTACCCCATAATAGCTATCGTATACTAAATGGAAATTCATAAACCTATCGTCAGTGCTACACTTGAATCAATAATTGCAGCCCTTTAGACCACCTCCCCCAATTTTCCCACTTGTTTTTCGTTTCCTTTTTCCAATTCTCTGACCAGAATGAACATAGAGGATAGTTATTTACCTTGTACTCTGGACTATCTTGTGTCCGAAGAAGCTCCATGCCAAAGGCCTGCAACAAAAGAAGATAGATACTAAGACCTATTACATGACTTAAAATGTAGTAACCCTGAAAAGAAAATGGCATGTTTCTGCAGCAATTCTCACCTTCTCGTAAAAGTTTATGGAACGATCAAGATCACCAACACGGAGCATTACTTGGCACAAAGGTTCAGGAGTAGGCCATCTTTCAATCAGTTCCAATTTGTAACCATCAGGATCCTCAACAAATGCAATTACAGTGGAACCAACTTTCACTGGACCGGGTTCCCTAGTTACTTTTCCACCCTTGGCCTTTATAAGTTCCACAGTCTTGGCAACCTAATCAATACAGATAAGCATTCGGCTTTGAGTACCAGAACCTAGAAGTTCTAGGATACTACCCTGTCTATCATCTTGTTAAAAACGGGGGTAAAAAGTAAAAACAATTTGGGAGGCAAAGTTCAAACTTACATCCTCAACAGCGATACCGAAATGACCAAATGCAGCTCCGATATCATATTTGTCAACTCCATAATCTGGTATCAAGACGAGGAAAATGAATATCCAAAACTGAGCGCATATATACTCTAATACTCTTACGGGAAAGTGATTTTTCGTAGATAGCTAATTGTTTGCAAAGTTTAAGATTCATCAAAGTTTAAAAAAAGCAAAAGGGTGGTATGATAGGTTACTGTAAGTGAGTTCAATAACAAAGTGAGAATCTTCTGGCCCGTATCCAAGAAAGGCATTGGTGTATCTCTCTTCCGGTATGTCTCGCTTCCTCAACAGCTTCATTCCCAGGCACTCGGTATAGAATCTGCAACCACAATACATTCGAGTTTGGTTCAAAGATTCCAACCATAAGATTGTTAACAGAGGAAATGTAAAGATAATACTTTGGTAAACAGACATACTTGACAGTCCTGTCCAAATCACCAACTCGATAAACAACATGGAGCATTCTTCGTTTGTCCTTTTTAACCCACTCCAGGGCAGTTTTTTGGGCAGCAGCTGTGCTTGCCTGTACTGCATTTCCCACCGGAGGCACCCTTGTTCCCGCAGTTTTCAAAAGCTTTGAAGCTTTCAAGCCAAAGAATTGTGATTGAGGAACAGATGGATAAAATTTTCAAATGAGAACATATATTAATATCAAATCCATCCAAAGTCAGTTCTCCTCTTCCATAAAATTCAGCATAATCTCCACATATTACTGGTACATATTTTTACAAATCAATATTTTTCTCAAACGGGTTCAATACTTACATTGTAAGCAGATAATTCTAAATCATAGTATTAAGTTACGACCGCAAGGCAAATGGCTGCATCATAACAGTTTTAAATATCACCGTGAGTATCGCAACACCGCAATCGCATCCACAATTTAAGAACATTATGATTTTGGGAAACAAATATCGACTTACATGACATTATAAGCAATCACGTCCACAAAAGATACCACAACGGCAATTTAGTACTACACTCCAAATTCCTTAAAAATCTACTAGTTGAAATCTTAAAAGAAACTAAAATGAACTCCAGAAATTCAACTAGAAATCTCAATTCAATTTAATTCTTCAATCGGTAACTAAATTAACCTAAAAAAACTACAGTATAAATAAGTGAATTCTATGGCATGTAACGGAAATGAATTGATTTAAAGAAGAAGAAAAAAAGATAAACAGTGCCTTACAGCTGCTGAGCCGAGAGAGTGGAGGAAGGCGAATCGTTGAGATGGACGCGCCAAAGCGCGAATTCGCAATACCACCGGCGAACCTAAACGACGAGAGCGAAGGTCTTATTGAGGACGCCATGGAAATTATCCTCACCATCCTCGTGAAGTGGTCTCTATTGTATTATATATACTAAAAACTCAAAATCAGCTCACTGTCTCATCTCAACGATGAGTCTGTGATGTACCTAGAAGCCGTCTGTGGCCGTAACTGTAGAATCTCTGTCTTCCACTCCTTTCTGTATCTTTTTTTGTCACTGCAGTGAAAGATGGAGAGTGAGGTTAGGTGAATTTGCGATGATTATAAAATTATCCTTATTTATTTCCGTTCAAATTGAGAACACAAATGGTGTTACAATGGTTTCAGTCCCTAAATCATTAAAACATTTGAAATTTAGTCCTTCCATGTTAATGCGACGTAGTTTGATGTCTCTACTTTTATAATGTAATTAGTGGACTCAAATTGTTCACTCTGTTAACTGTTGTTATTAAAATAATGATATATTGTATAACAAATAATTATATATTGTTTTAAAAATAACCTTAAGAATTCGATTGATATATAAAATTTTTATTAGCTGATTATTAATTTTTAAATTTTCACACGACTCTATGACTGAACAATGGTAATAAAATTTTACACCATCATTTTAAAGGTAGAAATTAGTAGTGATTCATTTGTCCTACTAAATAATATTATAAAATATATGGTCAAATTATATCAAATCAAAATACGAAGATTGAATCGTATGTTTCATTGTAGTGAAATACCTATAATCGTAATTAAACCAGGAAAGAAAAATAAGGAATATATGGAACGTGGTTCACGAGACCAGATCCCTTTCCTAGGGGGTCTTGGTTTAGGCTCTCTACCGTTTATTGGCCAACAAAGTTGCCTACGTTCCTTTCTCTTCCTTTTTTGAGCTTTTGCTATTGGTGCCTAATGCAAAGAATGTGTGCCCGCTCTTTATATAATAAGCTAATGTAAATTATAGGTTGATTGAACAACAGAACCAAGAAAATTAAAAAGTCAATACAAATTGAATTATACAATTTAATTTAATTTAATTTGATTATTTTTATTTTATGGTTTATCACTAGGATTATACAAGAATTCGTCGTTTTTTAAAATTTTATATCATAAATGAAATTGTATACGGAATCACTTAATAGATAAACGTCTTTTGAGATTAACACAGTATCTCCAAAAATTTGCAAACCTAAAAATTAGAATTTACTTTAATGATATTGCTTTTCTCTTAATACTATAAAATAAAAATAAAAAGTTAAAAAGGTTTTAAAATTCAAATGAAATACTAGACGGATTTTTATTTTTTATTTTTGGATGGATTGAAAATTATGAAAGCCCTTGATATTTATAACCTGAAAAATTCAACACAAAATGTAAATTTAAGCTAAAAATCCGCAGCAATAACAATTAAAATTATAAGGTGTATCTACTCCAAACATTATTCAGATGTTTAATGAAATAAATTCATGAGTCAATCCAGCAGTTAACAAATCTTTTCTTTTAAATAGAAATAAAGAATCAAATTTCAGTTATTTTCTCTAAAAAGTTAATATGCATATAATACTTATAGATGCGAACACAGACACATAATTACACAGCTACAAAAATATGAGTTGGACATACGACGCATGCATATATACGAGGGCCTTGCCATTTTCACATTTAACAAAGAGAAGGGAGAGTCCTTTATAAACCCATCTAAATTAAGTATTTCCTTTTTTCAACGTATGATATTATAATACATGCATTTTCATTTTAAGCATTATTAACATATATATATATATATATATATAGGGACAATTACTATACTAATCATTGTTATATATATATATATATATGACCTATTTTATCAAATAAAATTATATTTTTTATTCGAAGCGTGTCAAGTGTAAATGTGAAATTTATTTTAAAATTTGAGTCGAGTTCTCAATCAAATAAAATCTTTCTGAATTAAAGTCAAATTAAATTTTAAATAAAAAATATACTTTTAAATTAAATCAATTTAATAAAAAATTCGATCCATCTCGATTGATCAACATCTCTGCATGCACCTTGCTTTGTGCCTTTGAGAAACTCAATGTCCCAATAAAAGTTAATTTTATTAATTTATATATTATACAAGAACATGTGATAATAAAATGATTAACATTCTATTTATTACTAATAAAGTTAATTTTTTCATAAATAAAATTAAACAGTCATCGTGTGTGCTTTTTTATTAATTTATATATTATACAAGAACATGTGATAATAAATAAACTCTTCATAGAATTTTTTTTTTATCATTGTATAGGATACTACTTAAAAATTATGAGATATCAAAACATTTATATATAAATTAAAAGCAGTATTAAAAAATAAATTATATATTAAAAGTATCACGCCCAATAATAAAGAATTTTTTTATAAATCAAATAACTTTATGTTCGATTCTTAAATAGTTATATTTAAAAGTTATATAAAGATATAAAAATAAAATCATTATTAAGATAATGTTTTAATTATAATAATAATTTTATTTTAATCAGTTTTCACTGAAATAATCTCTAATTAATTCATCAGTCTTAACATCAATTGACTTGTATATTTAACATAGAAATTGCTTTGTAAAAGGGGCTCATGTTGGGGAAGGTCCACATTGTGTAAAAGTAATCAAATATTAATAATATCAATAATAATAATCCAGACATTTGGTGAAACATCGTGGTTGGAATTTGTTTGAAAAAGTAAACGCTGAGGTGACGTTTGCCCAAAACCCACCACCTCTTATGGATTTGACACGAAACACAAACTCTGTGGTGTGTGTACAAAATTTAAGATTTTTTATACTTCAAACTAAAATAAATTATAATAATAAAAATATATCACATGACATATGATAAGAACAATTATAAAATTTAGTTCTCAATCATCGTATTCTATTGGACTACAACTCTTTTTCATTTGATTTTTATATCTAAAGTTTCATTATCACTTTTCCAACCCAATTTTATCAATATATATATGAATACAAATTTTCATAAATTATTAAAATTAAGATTTATGTTTGATATACTTAAATTATAATCTCTAAATCTAATCGTCGGTTCAGATAAAAACTTTAATTATGACTTGCTCGTATCTTTGAACCTCTTTAACTATTTAGATTCACTGAACTCCATCTCAAAATCTTTCAATAGCATGAAATCTTCTAACAGCACTCAATCACTATAAAAGAAAAAGAATGAGGGAAGGAGGAGGATGTAAATTCAGAAGAGGAATAAAAGAGTATGTTCGGTGGGTTAAAATAGGTCAAAAAAGACTTAAAGTGCAAAATGGGAAACTGTATATTCTTAGAGAGTCAAATTGTGAATTAATCCTTATTTTTTAAAAATTTAATTAATCCTTGTTTTAAATATAGAATTAAATGACAAACAAGCAGGTTAGTAACCAAACTCCCAGCAAGTAATTTAGCCAAACATGTTAATGAAGAAGGAAAAAGAAAAGGGTTAGAGGCGCAAACTCACACATGGGGACAGAAGAATGACGTTGAGATTACGAGATAATAAGGGACCACTGTGAAAAGAAATAAAAAAAGGAGGGGACCTCTGTGAGTAATAAAAAGGAAGGGGAACTGTGATAATTATCCAACGTGGGTGGCGTTCAATCCCAAATTCAATCATATTCATTGTTACAATAATAGAAGGTTTAACTCTCTGATTTTGAACAAAATTTCTAAAACATTGAATCTTCATCCAATCATATACGAAATCTATCTTTTAAAATTATTATTCGATACATTAGTGATATATTTTTACAACAAATTTTAATTTATACCTAATACGTCAAATATATTTTTATTTATAGACTTAAGATGGGTATAGACTAACTTATCTGTGGACACTAATTTTCGCCCATATATAACTTTATATATATATATACATATATATATATATATATATATATATATATATATATTATTGTTTATTTAAAATAATACATGTTTTTGTTTTTACAGGCCTAAACATTTGGCCCAAAAGCCATTACAAAACTGCCAAAACCAATGGCCCAGAGTGGACCCATTACATGCGACCCGAAACATGAAATCCTAGAGCAGATTAGGGTTTTAATCGCCAACCGCTTTCCACTCCTCTCCAAACGTCGCATCCCTCGCCCGAAGAGTTCAACTGCCAACGCAACCGGTCGATTTCCACGTCACCATCAACAAGTAAAAAAAAACATCAATTTGAGTCTAAATAGGAGACTACTCGAACTAAAAATAGGTCTTTTGTTAGACTATAAATTGATGTAACTTACAGACGAATAGGGACTAAAACTACACACGAAAGTACTAGCAAAATACGAAAATCAAAGGGAATACTAGCAAACATTTTGTAAGGTTTTCAAAAGGAAATAAAAAAAGTATCATGTTTTACCTTGCTCGTTCGTTCTTGGCCCTTGCATGTTGATTTTTTGCTTGAGATTTGATTCGAAACCCCCCCCAAAATCGAAAAGTAGATGAAATAGGGGAGGGTTCGAGAGTTTCAAACTCTGATCTAGCCCTCTCCGAGGCTAGTTTTTAAAAAAGGTTCGAATTTTCAAACTTTGGGTGGAAAAAGTTTTTTAAAAATATTTTTTTTGGTGGGCCACCGTCGGCGAGGTGGTGGCCATCGGTTTCTGGGTTTTCACGGTGGTTGTTTTTCATACTTATAGAACATGGATGAACAATTCAGAGAATTTATGGGTTGGTGTTTTGATCGGTTTGGAGGCTAAGGAAATAATGGGAAAGTGTTTAAGGGTTTGGGCTTTATATCCAACCCGTTGGGCGACCCGCGTGTTAACCCGACCCGAGAACCAGGGTCCGCGTGTTTTCGTGAATAAAGGGGAAATTATTTTTTGGAACCCTATTTTTTTATATATTTTATTTTTCCCCAAAATTTGATATTTACACCAATTTTCCTTTTAATTTGACCTCCAATTTTTTTTATTTTAATTTAGTTTTTTTACTTAATTTATATTTTAATTATTATTTTTTTAATTTAACATTTGTATGTATTTTTCCTTAGTTATTTTATTATTTGTTTTCTTTTTGTTCTTTTGTTTCTGTTTTTTAAAATTTTTATTTATTTTATTTTTATTTTCCCACATTTTATTTTTATATACATATTTATTCTATATTTTATATTGGTATTATTTTTGT